AATTAAATTATACACTGGTATTTATTAACTAAGCTTATATTCACAAACATAATTTTATATGAAATATGTCCATACATGTTCATATATCTTTCTTTCTTTTGTAAAATTATTTTTTAATGTAATAGAAATAACAATCGTAATATGAAAACATTAAAAATAATTAAAAAGATAATTTTCGCACTATTTGTTTTAGAAAAAAATCAAGTTTAAGGAAATATAAAAAATTATTTATGTATAATTATATATAAAATTAAGCATAATTATGTATGAGCAATTTTTTTTATATTTTCCTAAATTTGTTTTTTTTTCTAAAACAAACAATGTGAAAATATCCCTTTAATTATTTCTTATTTATGTTTCCACGTTACTATTATTATTTCTATTACGCTAAAAAGTAATTTTATAAAAGAAAGAAGGATATATGAACATGTATGGACATATCTCATATATAATTATAAATGTTTATGATTATTTATGCATGTTTATGTATATTTATACATATTTATGCATGAAAAATTTTTTACCGAGATTAGTTAACAAATATCGGCATACAATTTCATTTCCGTTCAATCTCCTTTTGTTAATTACGTTATAATATAAATAAAAATATAGTAACAGATTAAAATAAAAATAAGAATAAATTGGAATAAAATTAGAATAAAGACATATTTTTACAATCTTTTATCAATCAAACATGTTTCGTCAACATTTCCGAGTAACACATGTTGGTTACATGCAGTATATACGTTTCTGATAGTTATAAAATATTAGATACATTTAGGAAATATATAAAATTAGTTATACGACAACTTAATACTGAAGAGGATCCAAAACGCGGGAAATGTACAATTATTTTATCTTATGTGTGAACTGAAAATAAAATAAAATTATTGTGCGCAACTAAAACTAGCGTCGGCTCTCAGAGGTTTTTCAACTATTATTGAAATATATAAAACGTTAACCACACACAACATATATTACCTGAATTCGTTCTTATATAAATATAATATAAAATAACATATACCACACCAGTTATGTACACTGAATAATCAAGATCCTAAAAATTAATGCCAGCTAGCTATACTAATTTCGACGCTGAATGTGCACTTCTCCAAGTGTTGTCATCGAGGACCTGGAACAAAATCGCGCATTTGAAAAGGACGAAGGGAAGGCTCGAGACATCCGAGAACTCGATTCGACGAGTTTAGCGTATCGACGGG